TTTGTTGTTATGGTTTGTTTTCTTCATGTAATCTTCTGTATATAAAGCATATACAATATATTGTATTGGAATCCATATAAATATTTAGCCAAATTGATTTTTTTGTCAGGTCTATCATTTATATTTTATATTAGAAATAGATCTATCAGTTGATAGGATTCCATTATTGATCAGTCATGAATTACTCATCAGTTGCACTACTAATACTTTTTGCAATGCATTGCAGCAAGTCAAGCACGAGATCTGCTATCAAGGATGCTTGTAATAGACCCCAGCGAAGGATAAGTGTAGACGACGCGTTAATGCATCCCTATATTAATGTGTGGTATGATGAAACTGAAGTCAATGCTGTGAGTACTAAGGTTTTTTCTTCCTTTTTATGTCATAAAATATTGTTGGTCTTTTTCTTTATATATATATATATATATATATATATAATATATATATATATATATATATATATATATATATATATATATTGATTAAAAGACTTTTTTGTGCAAGTTTAGCTCTTTATGTACTTCAAGCCTTTCAAACTATCAAAGACTATTAGAATTTTATTACAATTCTGAATTCTGAAAATGTATCAAATCTTTTGACCCATTTGCAAAGATTTAATCCATATTTGTGCTCCCTTGCAGCCTGCCCCAGGCCCCTACGACCACAGTGTGGATGACCGTGAGCACACTGTGGACCAGTGGAAGGAGCTCATCTACAAGGAGGTGATGGAGTATGAAATGGTCCACAACTCCCCAGGTGGGGCAGGGGCTGGGGCTAGGGGTCCCGCACCCACCCATGGTCACGCCCCGCCGGCGGCCACCAATGCAGCTGCTGATGGGGATCAGGACCAGCATCGCCCAAACCACAGATAGGGCTGCCCTCAACCTTCTTAGCAGTCCCTCCGCCCCAAGCCTGCCTCCCAGCCACCTCCTTGGTTTGCGCACGGCTCACGTGTAGAGTCCCTCGGCCAGGATGCTGAAGTCCACACACACGGGAGTAGACTCTCGAGGCCGCGTCTGATTCCTCTGTCTGCCGCGTCATCGGGAAGGCCACCTTCAATCTCCGCAAGAGCCGGGTGTGCGGACCAGTATTCCTCAGTGGTTGCTGTTTTGACGCTCGTCAATTTTTACAGCTGTGTGTGCGTGTGTGCATCATCTTTCTGGAGTAACTGTCACAGGTTCCCTGTTGTGACTGGTGATAAGACTGGGTACTGCAGGTTCTTACTTCAAGGTTCTGCACAGAGCTGGAATTGCTGTGCAGTCATTTGACATTTATGATAACCCTCTTGTGCTTCTTGGCTGAGGCACTTGATTCTGTGTAGTCCACACCATCTTCTGTGTCCATTTTGTGTTGTGTCTGAGTGAGTGTGAGAATGCATGCATCAGGTGTTTTGAAAACGCCATTCAAACCATGATGATATAGAAAATATATGCAATTTAGATACTGTAAGCTGTAGATACTTTCCTGCTTTATGTCTCACCAACATCAGAGAGAACCTGTGTATTTAAATGTTACTATACTCTGTGACTACGATTAGTTTGCAATATGCAATATAACGAGTCCCCTGTACCGTGTGAATTGCTGCAAGCGGTCACCTGTCTTGCTCTGCTTATGCCAGTATTTTCCCTGACTTTACTGCTTGTTGAGTGTTCAGTAAGGAAATGGAGTTTTTGGAAAATGACAGGGCAAAGTGGTGCCAGAGCTTTCCACTAGAAAGCTTTGCTTGAGGCTGCAAAGGGAAAATAATGCAAAGCATATCAAATGTTGATAATGTGATGATGGACGCTTCTTTACAACAGGGATTGTGAAACCTCGTTTAATTGTATGTGAAAAGTTGTGTGAGGAGATCTGTGTGTTGGGCATGCGTTTCAAAAAAATAAAAATGATAAAAAAATATAAAAAAATACATAAATAAAAAATGATAAAAAAAATAAAAGACAGAATAAGAAGTGTTGGAGATCTATCCATGAGATGATTTACTTTTTTGTCTTTACTCCTTTTAGCATACCAGTTCTTCCATGGGTCTCATAGGCAAGCAACCTACAAATGTACAGTTGTGTCAAGTTTGTATTTCCTGTACAGACCAAACTCCGTTGTTTTTTTTGTCACGTGACTTGTATGGTATAAAAGAATATATATAAGAAAAAGAACAGAAAAATAGGAGCGAATTGCGATTGTTTGCAACATTTAGGATCCAAATATACCATTTCATATTTAGGCAGAACATGACGTCCCAACCTCTGCCGAGGACAAGCAGAGTTTCCTTCATCTCTCTCTCTCTCTCCGCAGTGACGTTCACTTAAGGTCTTGAGATGGATGAGAACGGCCAGTAAGGGACACAACTCCAGGAGAGTCCGCTCGCTATTTCCGCTGTCCTCTTTAGAGCCTAGCTGATTTATCCATGTCGAGAGCCACCACCTCCCCTTTCCGACAGCTCACCCTTTATCGAGGATTTCTTCCTTTCTTCCTCCTTTCGGTTTTAGCTTGATAATCATAGTTGTGGGGCATTGTCCATTGAACGAGGCCTCCCTTTTCTTTGCACACGTCTCTGGTGGTGAACGGCCCAGAGTTTTGCCTCTTACTGGAATGGCTCGAGTCCGTCCACCACTCAGCTTGCAGAGGTGACGTTTCGGGTCCCAGGCATTCGGGTCGGCTTGGCTTGAGTTTCTTGTATTACACATGATGACGATGATTAAATTGTAGCAATATATCTCAGTGTAAAGTGATGAATTCTTTAGCAAGGAAGTCAGGCTACACTCCTTATTTTTCCATTATCAAAATTTTGGTACATGATACATATATATATTTATATATACATATATACACATACATACACATACATACACATACATACACATACATACATATAAACACACACACACACACCACACACACACACACACACACACAACACAAACACAAAACACACGTACACATGTACACTTGTATACACAAATTATATATATATATATATATATATATATATATATATATATATATATATATTTATGTATGTATGTATGTGTATATATATATTGTAATACATATGTATGTATATATATATATTTATTTATTTGTGTACATAAATATTTATATGTGTATATATATGTATATATTGTAATATATATGTACATATATATGTATATGTTGTAATATATATGTACACATATATATATAATATATATATTATATATATATATGTATATTATATATATATATATATATTCATATGTATATGTATATGTATATGTATATGTAGTATATGTATATGTATATATGTGTATATATGTAATATATGTAATATGTATATATATATTGTAATATATATATAATTATATATATTGTAATATACATATATGTATAGTGTAAGATATATGTATATATATGGTTACATATATATATATATAGTAATATATATTATGTATATATATTGTGATTTTTTATATTATATATATATTGTAATGACTATGTATGTGTATATATATATGTATATAGTAATATATATTATGTATATATATATATATATATTGTGATTTTTATATTATATATATATTGTAATGACTATGTATGTGTATATATATATATATATATATATATATATATATATATATATATATATATATATATATATTATATATATATATATATATATATATATAGTTTATTTATATATATATATTGTAATATATATTTTATTAAAGATATGTTATATATATATATATATGTTATTTATATATTATATATATTGTAATATATATGTTTATATAAAGATATTGTTAATATATATAAAAAATGTTATGTATGTATGTATATGTATACAAGAATAAATGAAAAGAAGAGGTAGCTTTGGCAGACTGTTAAGTTGTTTAGGGGCAGTTAATTCCTTTCTGAAAATACTACTTGTGAGCACCTTAAAACAACGTAGAATAACCCTGGACAGCTTCACATTTTTAGCATCGTAAACATCACACTCTCTCTCAAATTCTTTCCGAGCCTTCCTGGCAGCTTGTGGTGGTCCAGAGTCCCGGCACCTCACACGTCCCATTGTGGAAACGCTTAAAACGAGTCCAACAAATCCTTTTTAGCACGAGTCTTTGTTTCGAGACCCCCCACCCCCTACCCCCTGTATTTCACTAGGAGTTGCGTTTTTTTTTAGTCAAACATCCAAGACTGCATCTAGAAGTCTTGAATAATTGTTTAACTTGTTTGTTTATTTTTGTAATCACCCTCTGTTGTTAATGTTGTTTTTTTTCTGTTGTCATGATGTGTGTCATTGACTTTCTTTTAAGAATTCTCTCTCTCTCTCTCTCTCTCTCTCTCTCTCTCTCTCTCTCTCTCTCTCTCTCTCTCTCTCTCTCTCTCTCTCTCTCTCTCTCTCTCTCTCTCTCTCTCTCTCTGTATGTCTCTTCACTCGTTCTGTCTCTCCCTTCCATTCATGTAATTACTGTAAGTTTTGCTGATTTAAGTCTCCAGGTTATTAGCTTATTTAATGAAAGGGTTCAGTAAAAGATGATTTTTAGAAGATCCATGAATTTGTACTTAATATTGGAGAAGTTCCCCCACTGGTCCATAGAGTGTTCCTTGTTGTATTGACTTCAGTTTTGACTTTTTCCACATGCATTCAAATGGGTGTTAGCTATCAGGGAAAACTAACAACTTAAGTCAATTTTTTTAACATAAATTATTCAGGGAATATAATTAGTTAAAAGATGAAGAGCAAAAATAAAAAAAAATAATAAAAAAAATGAAAAAAATGTTTTTCCATATATCGTATACTAATGCAGATCTTGTAATGCTGCTCAATGTTTTTCTGTTCTTAAAGTGCATCGTAAGTTGGTTGAAGCGTTAAGGATTTTTCATTTTTATTCTTCACATAATATAGATTAGATTGAAAACCTAATATAAAAACGTAACGACGGCAAGATTCTTCTTCGTAAATGTATGATGGAACTTCGACACTAATGGCAGAGAAGTCTTCCATTTCTCAACCTTTATGATTCAAGACATCAATTAATCACCCAGTGCTCTTCTTTAATGTCTTAGGGGAATAAATTGATGGAAAGTCTTTGCCAAACTTTAAAAGAAAATAAATGTTTAATGCTATAATGTCCATTTCATGATCTTAAAAGGTTTTTATGCTCTTGTTCTGAATTGTAGCTTTGCCTTTGCCCCATTGTTAAAAAAAGAAAAGATCATGTATTTTCTTAACACTCAGCAACTTCTGATGCAGCACTTGCTCCTTCTAAATGCCTTCTCCATATTCAGGTTTGCAAGAATGGCCCACAAAGCCGCGGTAATTGTGTACAGGAAACACATTCATCTCTGTGAATGGAGAGGTTACAATCAGTTACTTTGTTGGGTTTTCTCCACTGTGTTGAATCATAGGAACAATACGAGTGGAACTGTTAGGGAAGCATTCTTGGTTTTCCTTGTGTGATGATAAGATAGAAGTCCAATTTGGGAGACATAGAAAAGGGGTGGCCATTGTGCCAGCCGACAGTGCTCACCTGATGGCATCACCTGGCAACAGAGGTGCCAAACAGGACTTTAAAGCCTCCCCTATTAAAGCTGGGTCAATGAGAGCATTTGCAGTTTTGTCGTGACTGCCAGGTCGTGATGTGTGTCTGGCAAGATGGATTTGTTTGTGAATATTTTTCAAAGTCTTTCAAATTACAGAAGAAAGTGATGTAGTTAAAACATTGTGATGTGGTTTGAATTTAGTAGTGAAGCATCTGAAAAGGAAAAGAAATATATATTAAAGAGGAGAAATATCCAGTTGAAGAAAAGAGAAAAATAATGATCATCCGAACTTATTTTGAAGCAACCTCTATTTCAAAGCACGATACTCCAAGATTTATTTGACTGGATTCAAACCAACTTCCTTTGTACATTCCAGGTTTTGTTTGTTGGAAGCTCATGTGCAGGCCACTGGTAGGGAACTTGTTTGTGTATGCTGATTCTGAGGGCCACCCCCACCCCACCCTCCCATCCCCCGTAGATGCTAGAGCCGCCAGCCCTGCGACTTCAGACACAACTTTAGCGGAGAAAACTACTGTGTATGCTAGCTCACCCTAGAACTTTAGTAGAGTCCACTAGTGTGACATTTTAGTGACGAGTTGTACAAAATACGTGCCATGTATCGGCACTGCGCAGTGTCCATTTACCCAGGGTTGGTCGGAATTTTGTTGGACTCTATTTTTTCCTTTACGTTCAATGAGAACCTTAATCTTTTTTTCAGCATTTATGAGGGTGCATGCAAGGGTATGTAAAGGGAAAATAAGGATAAAGAAAAAAAAATATAATAACTAAAAGTGTAATAATAATCTAGAAGCATTTTATGGGTGTGGAATTGGCCACTGGAGGACAGGAAGTCAAAACCTGTCTTATGTAATGTTTTCTTAGTGCTCAATACAGGATGACAAGCACTCTGTGTATTTCTCGCTCACGTTCAGGAGTACGCAGTGTTTCCAGATCATCCTCTATAGGTGTTGAAAATGGCCACCACTTGTTACCCATCTCCACCCACAGCTCTCACGTTCTTTAGTGTTTATGACTGTGACAATTGCAAACGCGTGAAAACGTTGTGTGCGCATGACCATGTATGATAGACCATTGTACAGAGTAGTCGGTTTCATGCTACAGAGGAAGGCTCTCATTGGTGTTAAGTTTCATGTCCGTCGATCTGTCTTTCCCTATGGATATACCTGGGCGCAGTCTGGCTGAAATGCCGCGTTGTGACGAGGGAGGAGAGAGCGTCACTGTGTTTCGTGTGGGACAGAGTAGTGGCTTTGTAATTCACCCCAACCTCCATCCATTTATCCACTGGATGTATGGATGTATATATGTATAAATGTATATCCATATATCTACACACACACACACACACACACCACACACACACACACACACACACACACACACACACACACACACACACACACACACACACACACACAACACACACACACACACACACACACACACTCGTATATATTTATATGTATGTATATTGACGTTTGTGTGTTTAACATTATATATATATATATATATATATATATATATATATATATATATATATATATATATATATATATATATATATAAAGATATAGATAAACACACATATGTTAGTATGTATGCATATATCTTTATACATAAAAGCATATAAATGTATATATGTATATGTAATATTAAACAATGTGACATTGAGCAATAGTTTTAAGTCCAGTAGCTTCATTCCCGCTTCTGGTATCCTAGGCCCCAACTGTCGGAAATTCCTCTTCCTTTCACTCGGGCCAGACAAAAATATTCAGAGTTCCCTGCATTGGGTTATCCATGGGAAGATGCAGTTCCACTCCTGCTACACCTGTTTAACTCTCAACATTTGTGCTTAGTATGGACAAATCATCATAACCTTTTGTATATAAAGCAACCCCAGTAGTGCAAACAAGAATAAAATTATCAAGTTAATCCTGGTTTTATTATCTATTTCTCTCTCTTGTGTGTTTGTAGAATCAAAAAATTATGTATGGAGACTATTTCAACCGGCAATTGAAATTTAAACTGTGGCTTATGGGAAATTTAGGAAAGTAATGCAGTTTTCATGATTTGCTTTCAATTGTCAGCAAAGATGGCATAATATACTCAATGAAATCAACCCTGCAGTTATAAAGTCTGATTTTTGTGTACTAGGTCCCTTTAAAATTATTAAGCCCAAGGATAGCATCAAAGTCGAAGTATGGGCATTTTTTTGTGAATTATCTGCTTTTACAACAGTTACCCAAAAGCAATCTTATCTTCTTTACTGGATTCTTCTATTGGCATTTTTATATGGCTCCATCAACATCCATTTTTTTTTATGGATTTCTATTGATAATCACAAAGTTCATGGTAGTATCTTTGTACTATCAATACAAAGGAATGAGATCAGAAAGTTTATTATAGTTTCTGTACAGTGCATAGGATGCTAATACCTTGGATATAACGTAATGGAGGAAGCCCTATAAATCTTTAACTCAGAAAGTGAGATCAAATCTATGACGGACCCAAGATAAGTCAGTCAATTAGCCACCCCGAATCTAAACGACATTTTTATTGATGGCAAGACAAAATAATGGACAAGAAATGAAAGAAAATGTTGCCATTTTTTCTCGGTCAGTAAAGATAATTATTCAGAACCTGTAAATATACTTAACATGCAATATACATCAGCATTTCTTCAGATTTTAGTAGAGTTAACACATTATTTATAGCAGTTATATTTAATATATCATTTATAAATACAGCTTATACCCATCCAGCATATAAATCATAACTATTGATACATATAACAGGGTGCTTGCCCACTATGAGGAGTTTGTTACAAAGCTATCGAAGCCTATGGACTGTATTGTGAAATATTACCAAATCTATTTCACAAAACAGCTACCCTCCAAAACTGACATGAAGATTCAGGTTTGGAGGTCGAATCGGCATGGACGGCGGAACCTATGGCTCTCTGGGGCGAGACTGGGAAGGGGGACAGTGGCCAAAACTCAGACAGGCCAGTCAGTTCAGGCATGAGGCATCTGCTCTGTGACGGGTGAGCGACTGCCCCTGATACCGAGGGTGCCAAAGGGGATCGAGTGTCAGTGGAGAGAAGACCTGGCAGCAGTGCTATCACCAAGAGTGGTTCCTTTTTTGCTGGATGAGCCACCTGAGATAGCCATAAACATCATCATCGGTCTCCAGCCTTCTGTTGCAGGTGCAGCTCTGGTCTGGACTAGATCGAGTGAACTAGGATCCAGTCTGTGAACTAGAATTGCATCAAGAAATATTCATATGACTTGGTTCTTGAAGTGTATGCTTACATGGCAAGGAGCTTTGTCGAGGTATTCACATTGCACTAGGTAGCAGCGGTGGGACTGACTACGAGATACCTAGTATTGAGACCAGCCTCATCTGGTACTAGTGCCTAACCTGCACTATGAAGTCTAGTACAATGATGCAGGAAATTGAGCCAAGATTAACCATATCCTTGTTGGCAATAGTTGGATCCTTTGGGTGATTAACTCAGGGTGCGTCATCTTCAAAAAGGAAGTGTACTCTGGGCTGAGAACATGACAGAACATGCTTGAGAAAATGACAAATTCACCTGACAGAGGCCCCAGATCGGGCACTGCACTGATCCTGGGGCAGCATATCAAGAATCTTACTAGGGAAGTTGAGGGCTGTTTTGTAGTGAATGTCCAACGCCCTGCCCACTAAGCCCCGAGGAAATGACTGCCAAGCCCCCCTGGAGGTGAATGCAGATTGCCAAGTGGTGGCCAGATCACCTCTCAATCCTGGCAGATGCAACCAGATTGGCCCGTGTAACCTGAGTAGCTGTGTCAGGTCGAGCATGGACGTAGGTAGGATCAATGTGGAACCTCTTACCCTGACAAAGGTTGGGAAGATGATCTCCGTCCTGAAGGAATTTTGTCACTGTTGTTCAGTTACGAAGTTTGAGGACTAATTCATCCCGGCTTCCACATAAGTTTTCATACTTCCCGTTTAATCAGGAAGACTGTTTAATCAGGCATGTATTACCTGTTGAGATGCCATTCCTCTCTGCAAGAGGAAAGGAGATTGCTGGGTCTTTAGCAACAAGCTTTATTCATCTGATAATCTTGTTTTGTCATTTCAGTATACACCCGATATTTATGTTATTTCAAGCACAAGCAATTTGTGGAATAAAAACGTTTCCTTGCACCAGTGTTTTTTAACCTTTCCAAGACATTTAGTCTACGTGGGTGTGCCGGCCACTAAATGTGGTATATCAGGTTGTACGGAGGAAACACTTCATTCTTTGGTGTCTGTCTATTCCTTCCATCCTTTCGTACAGTTACAGTTGACATTTCATTTGCTTTAGTGCTTCCAGTAAAATTGAAATGAAACATACAGCGTCTTCTGTATGCGCCATAAAAGTTAACTCTGGAATTCTCTGTGGGACTTCTTTTTGTTTTTCTTTTCTAAAAAATTAAAAGTCTAATTAAAAATTAAAAGTCTAATTAAAAATTAAAGTCTAATCCTTAATGAGCTGGTGAAACCCATCAATCATGCGTTAATACCTGATGACGCCATCACCTCCACAGAAAAGATGGAGTTAAGTTGCCATGAATGTTTATTACAGGCAATAATGAAACAAATTCTGACGTTTTTACGTTGAAGATGCATATGAAAAAATCAATATATATTCGTATATGTTATGGGATATTCAATCTGTAGATATAACTCTTAACAGTGAAAAGAAAAACAAAAAGAAGTCCCACAGAGAATTCCAGAGTTTACAGACACAGAGAAGGCAACTTATACCCAGGGTGGAAAAGCATTCCCAACTTGTGCCATCATCATCCAAGAGCCAACGCCGACGGGGGCGCATCCACCCTTCCTACGAGGGCCCCTCATGGCAAGCCGCCAGGCAAGGACCCATCTCGAGCTCTTTACGGCAGGTTTGGTCGATCTGCCCAAGCCACGACTTCCAAAGTCATCCCACAGGCCTCTTCCACCCAGGGTTGTCTCGAACAGAGACAACCTGATGGGCGGGATCATCCTGAGGAAAGTGAGCCAGGTGGCCATATAGCCTGAGTTGGCAATCACGGATTGTGCAGATAAAAGGCCCTGTGTGTCTTACAGTGCAACCGTTGGTTGGACACATGGTCCCACCAACAGTATCCCATGATCCAGTGCAAGGATCTATTACAAAAGGCATCAAGACGAGACTCTAAGGCACGAGATAATGTCCAGGTTCCACTACAGCAAAACTGGCATTATCAAGGCCTTTAAGGCACAGAGCTTGGAACTTCTGCACAGGTACCAGGTCGAGAGAGTTCATGACCCCTGCTGCCAGACCAATCCGTCTACTGACTTCTTGGTCTGACAGCCCAGAGTTATGAGCTGCACCACCAAGGTATGTAAAGCTCTCTGGGACTTCAATGTCCTCGCGGGAAGCATGTACCGACTGTACAGGTTCTCCTAGCAAGTCCCCAAAGTCTTGGATCTTGGTCTTGGTCCTGGAAACGTCTAGAACCAAGGGCTTCGCTTCATTACTAAATGCATGAATAGCCACCGCTAAGGTTTCCATAGACTCAATAAGAATAGCAATATCATCAGCAAAGTCAAGATGCAAGGACACAGCCTTGCCTCACTCCTGAACTAACGGGGAAAGAAGCTCCACAGGTCCCCTCCACACTTTACAGAACTTTCAGTACTACTATATAGGCTTCTATTAGTCCAATTAGTCACGACAGCGCTCTACAATGACTCGAAGCGCAAGATACGGTCTATTGTGGACTTAACAGGAGTGAATCCAGATTGCTCTAGCCTCTGGTGCCTCAGTAGTGGTCTCTGATACGTCTCAGACAATGTGGCGAGAACCTTGCCTGTATATTGAGCAGTGTGATGCCTTGGTGATTGCTGGAGTCCCATCGGTCCCCCTTCCACTTCCAGAGAGGCAGCCAGGACAGCATGTAACCCCCACACCACCAGTCTTTAACAGTTCAGCATATACCTGCTGCTTTACCACTCTTCAGCTTAGAGATCGCCCTTCTAACTTCAGTTAGGGAGGCTAGATACTCACTGATGGTGGGTCTGCATTGGAATCTCGGCACTCCCTGCATCCAAGTTAATTTACTGTTGGTGGGTGAACCTGGTACAACTGCTCCAAATACTCAGCCCAACTCTCTCGCACTGCAACTGGATCTGAGATGATCTGGCCACTTAAGAAACGAACTGCTGTCCACATGTGAAGAGGGCTTGGAGTTCAGCTTTCTCAGGGCTTGGTATGCAGGACGAAGGTTATTTACTAAGAAATGGCCTTCAAACTCCTCTGCAAGACTCCTAATAAACTGCATCATGTCTCTTCTCACCAGTGATCGGGTTCTGCACACTTAAGAATGTGCAAATCCTCATCCCATCAGACGAGCCACACGACAAGTGCCTCCGCGAGATGAAATTCTGTTTCGCTCTCCGGCGTTTTGCACTTGAAGGTGTCCCACAGAAGTACAGGGTCCGTCAGATTGTCGAGCACTGCGAAACGACCAGAGACTGCCTCAGCAAATACCCGGGCACACTCCCCCTCCCTCAGCTGTCAAAGTGAACACCCTGGGGTGATCATTGGAATGCTGAGGAGTTTCGAAGCGGACTCGGAGGTTGCCACAACCAATCTATGGTCAGTACCACAGAACTCGGCACAGTGCTACACCCTGCATTCTGGAGGATCCTCTAACGAGTGCTAACGAGTATGTGGCCGATCTTCTTGGTTGCATTACCCGCATCGCTGTACCATGTCCAGCGGTGTGGGTTTGGGTGCTGGTACCAGAACCAGAAATCCTAATTTCTGGGATTTAGCAAAGTCCCGGAAAAGGAGACTATTCTCACTGCCGGCATCAGCTCCAACTTATGTAATACATTAATATACTAAAATGGAAAGCTAGGAACAGTGATATGAAATTCCCAGACAGGTAACTGTTATTGCCACTGTACAAATACTGCTCCTCCCATGTAAAACAATAAATTTATCGATAATCGCATGACTCGCGGCCCTGTGGATTTGGATTAAACTTAAATCTGGAATTTACTTTTACGACGGCTGTAATTTCTTCCTTTTAATATAAGGGATCTAAAACAACACATTATTTTGTTCATATATAAACAATCTTTACACATCCATTTTCATTTTGGGTTCTATAATAATACATGACATTTGTTGATAAACAGATATTTACTAATAATTACCTCTAACCTGCCTAAGAGGACCCTCATCATGGCCGACTGTTGTTTACAATAGACAAAGAAAATGGAATATACTAGAGAGAATGTTTTACAGGGATAACTCAATTATATATGTAGATACATCGCGGTATATTGCAAGTGAGGGGGAAGGAAAATTTCATATATATATATATATAATATATATATATATATATATATATATATATATATATAATATATATATATATATATTATATATCAGGTAATGGTCTTTTAACTCTGCTGTTGAATTTAGACCCTGTTGATTTATCAATATGAACATTAACATATGATCTATGCTATGGTGCAGTAAGTGTTGCTTCTGGGATGTTGATACTCGACATATGACTGGAACCGTGTACAAGGGAAAGCAAGGAGACCCGCACAGTGCTACACAGATGATATGGAAGACCCGAAAGGAACATAGCCTTGCCTGAGTCGTGGAAATGGCACAAGACAGAGAGGCTGCCGTAGAAATTTCTGCAGAGATGCTAAGGGTGACGATGAAGCTTTTGCAGTTCACAAGAGCACGACCGTTCTGAATGCCTTTATTGTTTTACCCTTATTATCATTATTATATGATTTTCATTATCATCATTATAACACTATTAGCAAACTGCTTTTTTAATCATTATTGCTGTTGATGTTATTGTTTATCATTATCTTTAATAAATATTACCATGCATACCATCATTATCATATCTAATAAATTCAGATTTGCCGACGTGGTTTGAACTCATGTTAATACTAATTTTCATTGAGTATAATTCAGGATTGAATATATCATCCAGCAAAAATAACGAAGAAGAAGAATATAAATTCTTAAAGAAGATAGAAGAATTTAAATAAAATTTAGTTCCCGCGGAATAACCTTTATTTTGCGGAGTTTGAATAACAATGATTCTGGATACTTATGCAAATAGTAATAAAATGATATGTCCAATATATGTATTATTATGAGCATTAATTATTAAAGAAAATAAATTATGCAATAAATATCAGATGATTATTCCCATTGTTTTAGGAACGTTTATTAAAAGATTTGATTATGAATAGCTTGGTAGAAAATAATAAAATTTATAGGGCAGACTAAAGTAATATCACCTTACCCAGGCGCAATGGTATGAAACGATTATTTGATTCATATGAAAGCTGAATGTGACCAATTGTTTAATCTTCTTTTTTTAAGTATTATTCTCCATTCGTTTTTTTTTTTCAATTAAAAACATATCAGAGAAAACCTTCCTGTTTCGAGTTACCTAAATTAAAACTGATTTTGGAAATGTTCTATACTCAAAAGCAGCAACAACAGCATTGCAGTCGTATGATGTTATATGAAATATAAACAATATCCTTTCGCAGCTAATCATATTGGTACAAAACGACGCATAAAGAATGTATAATTTCTATTTTACTTCAAAGTCGTTGATCCATGAATATTCCCGGTGTTCAGTAAATGCAAATTCTCTATGTTCATCACTCTGCAGTCCTTAAAGACGAAGAACGATGCTGCATGAGTATAGTTCAAGTGTTTTTAGAATCCATTTACTTTTTTTTTCCTTGAAGGGATGATCTGAAACTGGCAGTCTAAAATTTGGAAAAAAAAATCAGCCAACAATTTTCCGAGATAAATTATGAGCTATGAGAGAAATTTTAAAAATGTAAGTAACGCAAAGCAGTCATCTTTATCAATAATCGATTACAGAACAATAAAAAAAAAAAAAAAACGTATTTAGTATATTTTAAGACTCGTACAAAGAATCTAATTCATAAAAAACAAAATAAATAAATAATCGTCATTTCAAATCGGTGAAATTTGCAAAAGATAGTGTTAGAAAGATTCAATGTCTATTAACATAATTTTTTTTATATTTCATATATCTATCATATCCCTCATATAATTAACTTATCATGCCACGATGGCAAAATTCTATTTTGTTAAGTTACCCATGCAAGAATATATTTTCTTTAATAACGCATCTGACGGAAAAATTATAATACTAGTAGAACGCCACTTGGCTTCTCTCATTGCATTATAGAGTTAAGCAGCAACTGTGTTTTACTGATTCCCACAACAAATCATATTTACACTGATAATTCAAAATTGCTTAATTCACGCAGGGTGACTTCTTAAAGGCAGCCTCGCCCAATCCTTATTTGTTTATGTTACACACGTCTGTAACAGCAGAATTGCGTGACGTGGAAATTTTGAATTCACTGTAAACAGAATGA